TCAGGCCCAGCCTTAGGAGTGTGGTCGGTTGGCATGGAAGCATCGCAGGCTCCTCGAAACCAGATCCATTGTGGCTGCAAACCGAAGAATCTTGGCAGTGGAGCGAGGTGAGTAGTTTGCAAACACAAAACACCCATCCCCTGAGGCTTTGCGAAATCCCATTTTTGCTCCTCGGCTCTAATTTCCCTCACCTCAGCGCTGGAATGTTGCTAGCATGTTTTTGGTTCAGCATCTTCAACATAACAACTTTGCTGAGATTTCAGATTTCACAACTGTCGATACTCGATCTTAAATATTCTGCATTCAGCGAAATCCAGCGGCTCACTTTTTCCAACGTTGCTGAGGATTCCCAGACCCGCTCAGCTCTCAGGAGCCTCAGTTTTGTCCTCATCGTCGTTGACCATGCGCAAAGGCGGTGCCTGGCGATGCGAGGCACACACCACACGAGAGACTTAAAGAGACTTCAAGAGACTTCAGATTTCGATTTGATCGACCAGGTGTCCGAAGACCAAAAATATGTCTGATACACTTCCACCTAATTCGAACTATCTTCATAAATAAATACCAGAGAGGATTGTCAACATCGTGAGGAACATCGTGCAGAACGTGTTTCATCATATTGCCATAAGCCTTTGGTAGCCAGATGTAGCCAGGTAAAGCCAAGTATAGGCCAGGTATCCAGGCTCTGCTGGCAGCACGCCTTCTCACCGGAGCCCCGGAAGGCCGCGGCCGTTGCTTCCAGGGCTTCTGCTTCTGCTGTCCTGGTTGAATTCCATGACATGACACAAGCCATGACATGCCATGACCCTCATAGAAGTGGAGAAGTACTCATAGAAGTACTGGATGTATTACTGTCAATTGGAGTCGGCAGCATCGCTTCAAAAAAAAACATGACGAATCCGCTTGGTAGAGGAATCTCAGAAACGATCAGCATCAGCAACATATCCAGCGGACCTGAGCCCGGCATTGACGCCCCTGCGCAACGCTGCGGCACGGGCTTCCAACTCGGCATCCTGGAGTCGATCAATCATGTTTATTGGAGGAAATTGTGGAGAAAAATACATGTCAAATGTCAAATATCTCCATACTGAGGGCTAAACAGCACAGCTTTCCCGCTCATATTCACCATTTTGTTGGTGATACTTGTATTCATTCTAGATGGATGGCCCCCCCGACAATCATCACTGTAAGGCAACTTGACCCATGTAATCGTAGTTGTAACGAAAATTATGTTGCGATACAAATGGGTACTACTGGTGGGGGCCAAATATGGGTGAAGAACCAGATATATATAATTGGCTGAACTGACGTCAGTTGGTTCGTTCCCATCAATGTCAATTGCCATGTTTGGTTACTGGAGGAATCGTCAAGAACATTCCACTTATTGCTGGTCAATCCGACAATTTGTGGGCTGTATCCCCAATTGATACAGAAGATTTCTTGATCATATAACAATGGAGAAACCACACCCTAAAACGCTGCCAGAATGACTCTTTTGATGACGTCCCAAGCATTTCAAAATGCCCGTGAACTGTACCTGGACCTTTCAAAAAACCATGAAATGCAAAAGTATGAAGATTCCGAGAAACTTCGACATTCGGGTTTGTCTGAAAATCAGGTACCCAAAGTCACACTTAAATAATGCGATTGTCCATATCCCTTTCATTTCTGGACAAATCCATTCACAGGAGGACGCCAACATTTTGATGCGGCCAAAACCTTGACCAGCTCAACATGATCTAAGGTCTTCCCAATCAAACATCAATCAATTTGACTTTCACCACCAAAAATTAGAATGTCAGCAACAAACATGGTCCATCATCTTGGATTGAGAACAAAAGCACCTGAAGAGCTGAAGAGAGTTGGTCCATTTTGGGCACAATTACTTAATAACATTTAATAACATAATAAATAACTGTAATAATTCCCATTAGTGACCATTAGTGACCATCACAGGATGTCGTCAGGGCAAGGACTGCCGGGACGGCGACATGGAGCTCCAGGCCTCGCCCTCTTCGTCGGCCTTTCGTTTCTTGCCCGGCTTTTCGGCCGTGGGACATCCCGCTTTGGCCCAGCCGATCAAATCCGCTGGACGTGGGGAGTCCCACCAAATGGGTCCACCTGGTGGAAGAATGCGAAGATATGCGGAAGGTGGAAACACCACCATGTGGAAGATATATGATATTATATGATTCATGATAGGATATGAATATATATGAATGAAGATACGGATTGATATGGTGACAAGGAGCTCTTCAAAAAACGACCAAAAGGCATTTGCAGTTCATCCAAGAAACCCTTTTTCACATCACTCGAGATCTCAAGATTTTTGTCAAAATGTAGAAAAATGTAGAAAGTAGAAGGCAGTCAGTCGGCGCACCTAAACGACCTGCCTCCTGAGATGAGCATGAGATACAACCTGGCCGTGGCCAAGAGATGACAACAGCTGCCACGACAGGCAACGCATCTGGCAACACATGGTGACGGTGAGACAATAGCTGCACCTGTGGCAACCGCCGGCTGTGCTGCACCAGCTTTTCGCAAGTGCAATGGCACTCTGCCTTTCGGTACATGTCAAAACAGTACGAACATCGTACCAACCAAAGTTTCCCAAGGCATCTCCTGTCTGGTTTGTCAATTTCGACACAGGGTTGGCTTGTGACAGGTTTCAGTGTTGCGCAATTCTGAGCATAGCTTTGCATCTTTCTGCATCCGAGAAGCAAATGGCGGTAGTACCAAAATTTGTATTTCTCTTGTCGATGGCCATCAAAGAGCAGAGGTACCTGCTGGCAAATTCAGGGGGCGAGTCCCATAAGGACAATCATGGATGATCCGTGAAACTGGCTTATGTTTTATATTGTTTTATGAACGTTGATTCTATTTATGGCTTCAGACTTCCAAAACAACAGCTGTTCATCGTTGAAGGCATTCCGAAGATCACCGCATTTGCAACCCACCCTGGATCCAATGAAACGAGGTGCTCAAAGCCCGGCTTCTTCCACTTGGCAATCAAGGCAGCATCCTGAGCCATGGTTGGAACAGTTGGAACAGTGATATGAAAACAAAATCAGAGCTGTCTGAAGCCCCCCTCGTTCAATACCGTTCAACACGCTTCCACACGCTTCGGTGCAGCTCAAGAGCTGCATATTTCTCTTGGAGGAGCCAATCGTAGAGCTCCCTGCTGATCGCCTAGGAGATGGAAGATGTTCGAAGATGTTCGAAGATGTTCGAAGATGTTCGAAGATGTTCGAAGATGTTCGAAGATGTTCGTGCTGTATTCCCTGGGATTTCCCTGAGAAAAAAAAGTTCAAGTTTTGCAACTTGGAAATCTACAGTCATTGGCAAAATGAACTGCTGCCATGTTTTGGACCAGCCTTCTTCTTGTAGTAGAGCTCATAGATATACCTGGCAGATGCAGTGTCCAGCTCATTCCAAATCATTCTGGGTTCAAAGCCCTAGCATTTGTAAAACAAAAGGGGCGGCCTTGACCGTTCCCAATGGATTTTGGTGATCTTCCAAGTGGCCTCGAACAGAAAAATGTGCAATCTGAACATCGCTCACAGAAACACCGTTTACTAGTTTACTCTGTGCTGATGGATGTTCAAACATCAGAACCTCACCACCAAGGTGCAATTGACCAGAATTCAAAAACGCAGAAAAAAATGGTCAAAGTCTCAGAGTCTCGGCAAAGTATGAAAAGTCTGACTCTTTTGACTTGTTCAACGCATGGCGCAGCGCATGGCTTGCATATGCTCGCTGCCTCATTGCGGCGCTTACCTTCGTGCGGTTCGTTCACCGCATCTCGCCTCAGCAGAACCGCAGCTGTTTTAGACTTTCTATGAGTTTCTACTTTTTGTGTCACCATGTGCCTCGAACATGGCATCATATTTAATATGGCATCGTTCCTTTCAAGACACTGACATTCCCTAAGTTGACCAACTTTGTCTCAGGCAGCCACATCTGATTGGCAAACTCCTCCAATTGCGGGGCTACGTCGTCCCATCCCTCCGGCGCCTGCCGGGGCGAGGCAAAATCATTCAAATCGCATACTGCGAATCACTGCGAAGTACTGCGAACATGGAATGCTGCCCATGGTGCTCAAAAGTCCAGCTGAATCTGTGATCGAGGATAGAGAGAAAAGGTCAGCAAGATTCCAGAAATTTCCAGAAGATGTCAGAAGCATTTCACAAAGCCTTCTTGGTCGTCAGTGTCCGTATTCGGGGCATGGCGCGGGCCGCAGAACGCGCCGCAGAACCCCAGCTATTCGGGGCCCGACCCAACGACCACAACAGCTGCAGTGGCTTGGCAATGTTTGGCAACGTTTGGCAACGTTTCCCCGTATCCGGTGATGCCCGAAACCAGCTGGGCTACTTTCACAAATCGCCATCATATCATATCCATCATTGCTTAGTTGTTCTCAGAATAACGGCTGAAGTTGTGAAGCCCAGCTGAAGTCTGAGGTTGATACCTCACCATGACCCACACGGGGACCCACTAAGTGGTCTAAGGCATCCCATAGGCGCTGGCTCTCACGAGCTCTCGCCTCAGGATAATGGAGATGCATAGGGAAGACATGGGGAGACAATGTCTTTTGGTCCAAATCCAATAATTACGAATGTCGTATAATAGAATACATACATATATTATATAATATATATATATATGTATATATATTAAATAAGGTTTCGGCTGCAGCACACCACGCTAGCCGTTCTGAAACCTTAGCGGTGCAATTCGACTTTGCGACCGCGGGCATTCTTGAGCTCTATCAACCTTGGGCTGGTTGATATCTCCTTTGCTCTTACTGTTCGTCTTTCTCGACCTGTTCCTCGTGAATAAGCTTTGCTGGTGCCTTCGACTTTGTCAGGCGTGTGCATCCTTTTTCACTGGACTATTTTCCCTTGGGTGGAACCCAGGGACGGGTTTACTGATTCTCTGCCATAAATCAGTGTCGGGTTTGGGAACTTTGACGACAAGCTATTTGGGCAATTCTTATTTTGATGAGACTCGAGTTTGCCTCTGTGCTACAGCTCTTCTTTGTGATTTGCTTTGAGTACCCTATTTCTGTGCGCTGTTGGGAGCTTCGTCACGGCTTCAACTACACAGAGAAGGACATTACGCAGGCGGCGAGCCACTGCAAGGAGATTGTGGTTCCTTCATCGACGAGGGATTATTCATCTCTCACAGGAGAGACTCAGACACATCTTCCAGGTGCTCCGCTACCACCACTCGAAGGACCTGACCTTCTTGGGCCTCATTGTCGCCACGATGACCGACAACGCCCCATGGCGATGTCTGGGATGCAGACAACTACGCAAGCATTCAGCCAGTCATTGTCACATTTGTCAGCAGCCCTGGCAAGTAGCGATAGACAGGACCTACGTCCACCAACCTGGCGGGCAGAAAGCCCAAGAGGCCTACGCGTCAGGCTGGAACTACAATCAAGGATGGGATGGGCATCAGAATTGGGGTGGCAGAGATCGCTCCCAAAGCCGGACCCACACGCCGAAGAAGGGCAGGAAGCCGAAAGGCGCGAAGACGCCACGGAACAGTGCCCCTGGGGAGGGGAAAGGAGCGCCCATGCAACCTTTCCCTGTGGCTCCCAACTTTGGCAAGGGCCAACCGCTGCCGCCGCCACCAATGCCCTGGCCTGGCTATGCAGGGATGCCGCAAACCATGATGATGCAAGCATCGATGCAACCTATGCCTGCACCTTTGCAGCCAGTGCCACAGCATCCTGCCCCACCACAATTGGCTCAAATGATGGCACCAGTGGCCCCGCCATTTTCGGCACCACCTCCACCGCAGCCATCGATGAGCTCGGAACAGATGGAATTCATCGAAATGGCTCGGGCTCGACAATCAGAACTCCCTGCAGATATGAGGCATCAAATGCAAAAGATGGCCAAGAAGGAGGGAGCAAGAGCAACCAAGGACTTGCACAGCGCAGTCAAGCAGCTGGGCATAGCCAGAGCCGAAGTGGAGGAAGCCATCCAGGCCCGCATCAACCTGATTGCCTCATGGAAAAACTTCCTTACAGAAGCAGTCAAGACGTGGCAAGACTACACGGTCCTGTTTCAAACTCAGGAACAAGGTCTTCAGGCCAGAATCCAGGAAGCTCAGGAGAACTTTGCCCAGGCGAAGACCCAGGCTGCAGATTCACAGGCCGTTGCGGGCAAGTTGACCATCATCGAGATCAAGGACGAGGACGACGATTTCACCGAAGGTCAAGAGAAGACCAACCTATCGGCTGGCAAAATCAACGAAGGTTTGGCCACATTGTCGGCATCCTTACAACAGATGAAGGAACAAGCCGATGCCATTGTGGTGGAGGAGAACGCGGCAAAGAGGCAACGTACCTCCCATCAAGGAGACCAGGCCATGGACGGGGGCGGCATGGAAGATTCCAATGCCTCGTCCAAGCCGCCTTTTGCCTCGCCCGGCTGTCCATGACGTTCTCGTATGACAGTCTAGGGCTTTGTCGCCACTGGAGCATCGACACTCCAGGATCCATCATGAAATGGCACAACAGAGCGTTGCTCAAAGAATAATTCGTCTCCGAATGGAAGGCCAGAGACCTTGCCTGTGGGCTCGCAAGGGAACTGTCTGGACAATCAGTTGCGTTTTCTTCATCATGGACTACCCCGTGGAGTTCCAATCATGGAGGTCGCCCATCAATACCTGTTTTTGAATCTCCTAAGAGAAGGACCAACATTAAAGCTCTGCATGTGGGTTTTGCAGAGCCGGTTGACGTCTGGATAGGCTGCGAAGACTCCTTCCAGATGTACCACACTTTTGGATCCCTTGAATCCTTCTCAACAAGGACCTCACCCTGGAGCTGCCCAAGTTTCCATGAAGCAGAATCCAACTACAGGACCTTTGATATCGTTGCGACGTCAGACTCATCAAGAGGCACAGTTGTGCGAGGTCTTCAGCCACATCCTACATGGGCTGACGACATTTTTGAACTTCTTCGACAGGAAGGGCGACCTGAAGCAGATGAAGAGGGACCGGTCGTATACATCACGTCGTACTTCATTGACCATGTCGTCCACCCCCATCATGACCAACCTCGACTCCTTCGGTTTGACACGGATGCAACTGAATGGGAGAGAGACGTCTGTTTGATCTGGGAAGACCACATTGACGTGACCATCCCGTTTGACGTCACCATCGTGAAGCCGGAGTCACCACACCTGATCTACCCAGACGCTGTTGCCACTGCAATCGTGCATCAACGCGCCACATTTGCTAGAGCAGCTGCATTGGTCACTACAGTGCGCATTATGGACCCGCATACATGGTTTTCTGAGTGTGCACACTCTTTCCCTCGACAAGTTGAACCTGAGGATGTTCGACAAGCCGCCCAAGTCTCTGAACTATGCCAGGAAAGAAGAGCCTCAGGATTTGGCGCTTGCACGCTCCATTCAGGACATCAACTGCTACCAGAAGGACAGATGCACCAACTTCATCATGGTATCGGGCTTCACATTCGGGTCCCGCCAGCATTGCAAGATGATGAACTCGAGCAAAATTTTGTGAGAAGAGTTCGACAAAGGGCGTTGCAACATCCGGCGCATGCATGGAATCCGCAACCCGAAGAGGACGCTCCAGAGAGCCATCACCCGAGGAGCGAAGGATCCCAAGATGCACCTGAAGACGCCATATCCTTCATGGCCAGAACGATTGCCCTTCAAGACATGGCAATGTCCTCATCTTCGGGGAGGTCGTCCGGAAGCAGCACCAGTTCTTCCTCGTCCTCAAGATCAATTTCAGTGTCGAGTGAAGCAGAAGACTGGCGTCAGACTGTGATTTTCGCCCTGGAGGGACGATCCATTTCCACACAACTCCCATGGCATGATCAAACTGAACTCTACCGACTTGCAGCGAGGGAGTTTGACATTGAACCACTGGATATCATCCGACTTCATCTGGTCTTGCATCGACCACTGGACTATATTCAGGTTGATCTTCATGGGCTCTTGCTGCAAAGGACAACTGAGTTTCGTCCGACCCCTTTTGAGAGATTGATCCTCCTGGATCTTGAATTGCACGTTGACAATGATGTTCAACCCTCGCCGTTCCGCAGATACGTGCGTTGGGTTCCTTACATCAATGACAGATCAGCGTTCTTTCAATTTCTTGGCCTTGCAGGAGTTCTTGCTGAACACAGCGACATCTGCTACATGTGGAGGAACAACATTGTGGTCCCGCAACGTGACACAGCACCCATGAACTTTCTGGACGGCGACTACGTCAAAATCTTTGTCGGTGATGCAGACATGCAGGAGCAATGCATCTCGGAATCGGATGCCGTCATTGAAGACAATGCCACCATTTCGGATGGATCAGGAGATGCAAGCAGCCTCTTTCAACGATCGGTCACACAATTCAGAAGAGCCCTTCATGGTTTCGGCAAGAACCTTGAAATCATTGAAATCAAAACAGATCCCAGTCAGCTTGATCCTATCAGAGTAGGCTCCGAGAGATCAGCAAGAATACCGACTCCTCCTCGGGCCGCTTTCAGCAGTGATTTTCACCCAGAGGATCATCGACGTCTGGCTAGACTCTTTGAGACCAACTCTTTCATTGAGTGTGAGGAAGAAGGAAGAGTAGCCTACATTGAAACGTGGCATATTCATCATCAACAACGTCGACATTGCAGAGAACCTCGATCCATGAAACTACATGACAACCCTCAACATTGGGCGGAGGAAATTCTTGCGCTTTGGGAACTCACAGGAGAGCAGGAGACTGACATTGTTTTACATGTAGTCCAGCCCTCACCACCATGTACGAGGTTCCAATGTGTGCTGGCGCATGTCATTGTTGAACAAGCCCCACAACCACATCTGAATGTTGGCATCATCTCGATTGAAGCCTCGGACCATCGCGGCACCTCCATCGACCATGAAGCCCACTCACTGCCAGATTGGATGGGACGGAATATGGTACTTCGGAAAGCCGAACTGGAAGTATTCTGCCAGTCCAGGATTTGCTCAGTACGACTTGGAGCTTTTCCATTTGGCCTTGTCGACATCGAGGAGATTCCCCGCGCAGTCTGCCTCACTATTCATATTCGACCAATCATTTTCCATGCGGACGAACAGGATTCCACGGAACTCATGCAGCGTCCACATTCGAGATGGAGCAAACCTGCGGCCCCTCAAGCAGGACAGGAGCTTTCTTCAGCGCCTGCACGATGTGAAGGTACGGCCTTCGTCTTCAACCCAAATGCACCGATCTTCGACCCTGCAGTGCCTTTTGTTGGACATCTGCCTGAAAACATCCAGGATCTTTACTATGCGTGGCGCCAGACGGCATTTAGTTGGGAGGGCGAAAGTGCGTCTACCACGATTATTACATGGTTCGTGGATCAGCACAATTTGGCTTTACATCATTGTCAAGCTCCACGTGTTGTTCGTCTTCACGATGATTTTGATCAGTGGGAAGCGCATCTTCGTCAAGCATGGCGAGACCTTGCTCTCCCTGGTGCCCCCATTCTGATCCACGTCGTGGAACCACATCCTTCGAACCTGGATGACGCACATGTTTTGATCATACAAAACCCCCTGGATCCCTTCTCCACCAGCCTGATCACTGGATATGATGACACGACCAACCACCCTGGACCAGTATTCCAGTTGGCAATGACCACACCAGAGACGCTCCATTATGATCAACTCATCATGGCACTGGGTCTTGGGGGTCGCTGTCTTTTTCCTGGAGCTCCTGCACTGTGCACGATCTACTACGGGAACTATGAGATCTTTCAGGGCATTCCTTTCCCATCTCGTGATGGCCATGGACTTACCATGCGAATCCGCCAGAGACCGACTTTCCAAACAATGCAGCAACAGACGGATGGTCCCGTGTTGCTCCAACTATCGGCCATGATTCACCACACCAGGGGAAGTGAGCGCCAAACAACTGCTTCGGTGGCTCATGAGCAGTGGCCACTTCCCGGTGACAGGGACCTTCAGGAGCACGCTTTAGAGGAACCCAATCAGACTGCGTTTCGAGTGAAGTGGATGCTCAACCCCCAGCAACATCCAGATTTTCTGACTCTTGCGTCGGCAAATAGAGAAGTTGCAGAAGAGGAGCTCAGTCTTTGGGGACTCCAGGCATTTCCTGTCTTGTGTCCTGAGCGAGACACTATTGTATGTCTTCAGCCGCGTGACATGACGTCGGACCTCTTTGACTATGTCTTTGTGAACCTGAACACAGAGGACGACTTTGACATCATTGTGCACTCGACGGATCATGTCATGGAACAGAATGAAATCATGGGTTTTCTCTATCAGCTTGGTTTCTGGAGAGCAGTTATTGAAGCACAGGAGATTGTCGACCTTTCTGTCTACAAAGTCACCTTTCTGGACCAACAGGTCGCGGCAATGGAGCGACCGTCTCGTCCTCTCAGACAGTCCACATGGCCGACACCTCAACACAACAAGGAGAGACATGAGCCCTTCTTTCAGGAGCCCAAAGAACTCCGCAGTTCAAGCTTGATAGATCTGGGCCTCACCAATCAGGATCTACGGACCTTCTTTGATTCTCACCAACATTGTCTTTGTGAAGATGTTACAGGCCTTGATCTTCCAAAAGAACTTCAGGATGCCATCGACAAATGCGATGCATCGATTCAAGACCAACACCTTGATCGCCTGCTCATCTACGCAGATGGATCCTCGCTGGGATCAGCCAAACACCTTGCACCACTCCGAGCAGAGGAGGAGGGCACAGGCGACACCTGGGCGTATGTCGTATTGGGAGAAAGATATACTCCCCCTGGCCTACGCTTCATTGGATGGGCTGCTCACCCGGTCATCTATGAGGAGCATCACAACGCACACCTTGGAGCCAGACGAGTTGGTGCAGACGTGGCCGAGCGAGAGGCTCTCTCATGGGCAGCACTGTGGCGTCTTAGCAAGAACTGGAAGATCCCCACGTGCTTCAGGTCCGACTCCCGCACCACATTGGGTCAAGCCTCAGGGGATATCGGAGCAGCGCAGCATGATGAGAGCTTCAAGGTCCTACGAGGGCTTTTTCAAGCACTTGAAGCTGCACTAGGGCCGCAGGGCGTTCAATACTCACATGTTCCTGGACATTCTGGTGAAGCATGGAACGAGCTATGCGACTGGCTGGCAAAGTCCGAACGACAGAAGAGCTTTTACTGCACAAGGCCGAGCATTCGCATGCGAGAATGGTGTCAGATCATTGAATCTCTCTGGCTCGTTTTGGACCCACATGATGATCTTCCCAAATTTTGTGGACATGGTCTTCATGCGCCACCTCCGAGACTCCCAGCCCTACAAGCAGCAAGTGATGAAACCCTGCGGCCAGAGGAGCACACACGGGCTGAATGGGATGCTTTCACTTTGAGTATCAGTGCATGCACAGCCAATGTGAACTCGCTCAGTGCACCCATTGAAGGCTGTGGGGGCAAGGTTGAT